TGATTCGCCTCTTTGGACGAGAATCCTGAGAATGTGTATCCCTAGTTGGTAGTGCATTTTCCCTTACTATACCACCTTTGTCTATTTTCTTAAAATAGCTTTTATTCCTTGCCTTTGTTTCGCTGCCTCTTTTTGCAATGACCATGTCACCATTAACCTTAACTACTGTGAAAGGCTTAGCTTCGTATTTAGGCTTCAATTTACCTTTCTCTAAGTTTTTGATTAATGCTTTATCACCCACTTGGATGCTAGATGGTTTTATGTTTCGCTTAATTTCAGCATGTGTTTTCATTTTTTGTTTTGACTGTTTATCATTGAGTTTTAATTTGTCATGTATCACTTCTGGCATACAACCAACCTCAGGTATCTGTGGAAGCTTAGTTTTTAACGGCTTACCATTTGCTATCGTTGCTGGCGGGATGCCAGTCGACGTGTGGGGAGTGGCGCGATAGTTACGTAAGAATTTGTATAGTTCTTTTTTCCATGATTTACCTTCCACTTGGGCGCATTTGCACACCTTGCCAATTGTTTTCATGAATCGCTCCGCACATCCATTGGCCTCTGGCCAACATGGAGTTATTCTTTGGTGTTTAAACCCTAGACCACGCGCAAAAGCTTTAAATTCGTCTCCATTGAATGGTGGGCCGTTATCAGTTTTGAACTTGTCCGGTATTCCTCGCGATGAAAATAATTTATCTAATACCGGAATGACAGTCTTTGCTGCAAGTGACCTAATTATTTCGACCTCCGGGAATCTGGAGTACTCATCTATGACTACAAGAAGGTGTTCCCCGGATGGAAATGGGCCATAAAAATCAGCCGCTAAGTGAGACCACTTTGAATCCGGCAATTGTGTCATTTTCAACGATTCACGCGGTTTTGCATCATATGTGCTAAGGCACGGAATACAAGAATTACACAAGCTTACTACTATACTGTCAATATTCGGAAACCAAACCTTTTCTCGGAGTAGCGTTTTTGTCTTTACCTGGCCTTGGTGACCTTCATGCGCGAGATTAATGACACGAGTTCTTAATTCATTAGGTATTATTACCCTAGTTCCTTTCAAGATTAGTCCGTTATTAGATACTGTTAACTCGGTTGCAATTTTACGGAATGCCAACAATTCATCAATATTTACCGTTTTTGATTTCGCAAATTTTACTTTGATTAAGTGCCACTGCTGTGATGAAATTAACTCTATAAGAGACTGCAATGTGGCATCCTCTTTGGTTGCTGTTTTCAATTCATCTAATGTCACCGCTTTAGGAATACTGTGGGTCTCTATGAAATTTACATATTCTTCAGAGAAATATAAATATTCAGCCATATACATGAAAATGCTCGCACGCCCAGATAATGGCCAACGCTTCAAGCTCCAGCTGACTTTTGTATCTTTGTTCAGCTGCTGTGAGCGCGCGAGTACCATAGCTAACAATGCGCGGTATACGCTTACCATCGTCGCTCGTATAATATTGTACCAGCATCGCTCCTAACTTGACAGGGGATGCATCAACAATTAATTCTGTCTCTTAATGCACATTGAAATATGCCATCACAGGCGCATTTGCTAAGGCTTGCTTTAATGTTTCGAAAGCTAATGTATGTTCTTTGCCCCAAATAAAGTCAACTCCTTTATGTAATGGTAATGGTGGGATATTTGTAGTGCGCCTTCCACAATAAAATCGTCTCAAGGCGCCTCAATGTTAACTGCCTCAATGGTTCTGTAATTGTTGAATAATTTTTTATGAACCGAGAGCAATAATTAGTCATACCTAGAAAGCTTTGGATCTCTGTAACGTTGCTAGGCTCGTTCATGTCTGTTACCGCCTTTACTCTACTTCAACACTGTGTTTCGAAAATATTAATCCAAAAAATTCCATGCGATCTTTGTTGAATTCACATTTCACCAAATTTGCTGTTAGGCCACTACTGTTTAAACGTGTTAGCAACTCATGTAAATATTTGTCGTGAATTTCTGTATTGAGACCAAATATAAAAATATCATCTGATATGTTAATTGCCCCTTCGATGTCGGAAATAACTTCCGAAACTATATGCTGAAACTTTCGCTGGCACTACAGATACCGAAATTTAGTCGTTTATATCTCCATAAGCCATTATGTGTGGAGAAAGTAGTAATGTAGCGCGATTCCTCGGCTAGCGGAAGTTGGTGGTAACCAGACTTTAGATCTATCTTACTGAATATAGTGGACCCATTCACTTTTGCAATTATATCATCAATCGTAGGACTTGGGTGTCTTTCCCTGATAATTGCCTTATTAGGTTGTCGCATGTCTACGCAAATTCTAATTTCATCCGGGTTTCTGGGTTTTGGCACCACCACTATTGGACTAACCCAAGGGGTAGGCCCTTTTACTCGTTCAATAATATCCTGGTCTTCCAATTTACGTAACTCCTTCTCTACTTTTTCCCTCATATGGAAAGGGATTCTCCTATGTGGCTGTGCCATGGGTGGGACAGACTCATCTATGTGTGTTTTAACTGATATGTCTTTCATCTCCCCTATACCCCCTGCGAACACATTAGGGAATATCTTACTTAGCTTACCCCCTACATCACTCTTTATCTTGTTAACATCATGGTTAATAGAGATCAACATTAAATCAATAGATGTCTTGAACCCAAGTAAGTTACCTCCATTACCTTCTGCAACAAAGAACTTAGTAGAACGTGGATAATTATTGTTAACAGATGAAATTTCATCATTAAAATAACCAAGAATGTTTACCTTAGTACCTCCATATGCAGTTAACATAGTCTTACTAGGCACTAACTTTACTCCCTTAGCAAGGTATTTACAATATGTCACATTATCTATAATATTTGACGTAGCCCCTGTATCTGCCATCATAGGCAGTAAACTGTTACATGATTTAAAATATATTTGAAAAATTGGCTTTTTCATAATATCACTTCTAACAGCATGAATACATACATTTTCTTTAAGGGTAGTTTTATCATCAGTTAACTCATGGGGACTAGCTATAGTGAAAACATACTCATCATCAGATGATGTATCTACATTTACTGGATTATTAACATCTTCCATGACGACTTTTTATGACGACTGTGATTACGTCTCACGAATTTCACCTCCTCTGACTGTTGCTGTGCGCTGTTTTCCATCTCAGACGTACGCAAGCTTGTTAATTCATTGGTCCTTCCTGCTATCAGAAGCTGATCTAACATCATAGTGTTGTCTCGAAGAGCTGCTTTTCTTAACTTGCAGTCATTGGTGGTTTGTATAATATGACTCTTTAACTCAGCATCCATGTCAGTGAAACTACATTTCGCCGCCTGTCTCCTCAACCTGATGTTGTATGCATCAATTTTCTCTCCTCTATGTTGTTGCATTTTTCGGAACACTGCTTTTTCATATTCGACATGCACAGTTGGTTTAAAATATGCTTCCAAAGCCGCAACTGCTTGAGCATACGTTGTTCCATTATTTGGCAAGCTAGACAATGTCCGAAAATGTACAGGGCCTATGAAATGTAGGAGCAATGCACGTTTCCTCACATCAATGCTAACGTTCGCCGCTGTAGCATAATTCTCAAAGCGTTCCAACCACGCTTCCCAGCCCGCGATTTATTTTCCGTACGAAAAATTTGCATGAAACTTCACTCGGGCCATCTCGGATTGACTCGAGTGAGTACGATACGAGGACCAAGAGCAGACACTTCGCAATGTCGTGACGCTCGAGTTTTACTATTATTGCTCTTTCTATGTTTACCTACGGTAGGCCTATGAAATTTCACGGACTTATGTGATGTACGTCACTGTGTAACTAACTGTGACCTTCTTGGATGTTATTAAATGTTAGTATATTATCTACAACAACAGCTAGTACCTCCGGTTATAAAGTGTAGATAGGTACAGTTATACCAAAGGCTAGAGAGAAAGAGTATAAACTATAGGCCTAACTACAGGCTGAGGTCTTACCTAGGCTCCCTTA